TTTATGATATCACTGAAGGTTTTTCTGGCACAAAATATGCTACTGCAAATCTTTATTTTCCTAATGTTTGCAAAATCATATTGACATTGAATGAATGGATTATGCATACCAATAGAATTATTTCATGTATGGCTGTGAGCATGTTAGGCAAATTTGAAAAATATTGGAATGATGTGCATGGTATAATGGGTGTTGCCATAATTTTAGATCCAAGATACAAAACAGAGTTGTTGGAGTATTACTTTGAAAAGATTTATGGAGAAAATGCTGAATTTGAAATTGAAAGGATTGTACAAATATGTCGGGATTTGCTTAAGGAGTATGAGGAGAAATTGGCTTTGAAAAAGGAAGAAGGACCTTCTAGTTCAAGCTTTTCATTCTTAGATGGTGTTGATGCTACTGAATTGGGAAATTTGGGAGACTATGATGATTTTGTTTCAAGGAAAAAAAAAAAGAAAAAATCAAAATAAAATCAGAGTTAGATCGCTATTTAGATGAAGAAGTCATACCAAGAAAAAGAGATTTTGATATATTGAATTGATGGAAACTAACTAAACCTCAATCTTCGACCTTACAACTTATTGTTAGAGATATTTATGCCATACCGATTTTTACTGTTGCTTCAGAGTCTACTTTTAATACTAGAGGGAGATTGGTGAGTGCGCAACGTAATAGACTTCATCCATCAACTATAGAAGCTTTAACATGTTGTCAAAATTGGTTATGGGCTAAAGAAGAAGAAGGTACAATAATGTATATTATGCAATTTTATTTTTTATTTTAACATATTGTTAGTTATTATATTTTGTTGTTATATATTATTTGTTAATAGTTTATTTTTTTATTTGTAGAGTCAATTTCATTAGAAGAAAAGTATTTTTACGAAGATGTTGATGAGAGTGAGATTGAGAAAAAGATAATTAGTTTGGTAAATAATATTATCTTTTTTAATTAATTCATTTTTTATATTATTATTTTTAAATATATTATTTTATGAGTTTATTTATTCATCTTATTATTTTATTTTATAAGACTAGTGTGATTAGAAGAGAATGATGATATGAAGTTTAATGATGATGAAATGATTTATTTTTCAATAACAACCTTCGAACGGGAACGAATAAGTATTGGATAAAATATTGAAGCATCGGATTGGAGGCGAAGAAAGCAAAAAACCGCCCTGCCCCGCCTCGATGTCAACTCTAGTCGTGCAGACTATCTTTCCCAAAACACAGCGTTTTATTTTTTATTTTTGCTATAAAAGAAACAATTGTTTTAAATTTATTTCTCCCTGTGCAGAAAAAAAAAATCCAATTTCCTTTGAAAAAACTCTACCCTGCTGACGAAGAAACCCAAGCTCCGCCCGTCATCAACGTCGCAGTCGTCGGTCACTGTAAATGCCCAAAAAGCACCAGAACACTCCTTTCGGCCTCCCTTTCCAAAAATGACCCCCACGATCCCATATCGACCTTCAAAGTCTCGTTCGAAACTTTTTTTATTTGTGGGTTTTTATTTTTTGGTTGTGTTTGTTCTTAACGTTGCAGTTCCCCGTTCCCAGGAATGAGATTTTTTATTTCTCCGAGTGTTCTGTTTTGTTTTTATTTGGAAAAGGTTTTGTTTTTTTTGGGGTATTTTTGGCAGAGGTTTTCCTCCTTTGTCTTTGTTTTTTTCGGTTATCTTCTAGGCTCATTAGCCAGATGGGATCTTGAGTCCCGGGTTTTCTGGGATTTGGGGAGGTTTCAAGGTGCCACCAGCGACGTCTATGCTGCAAGGGCTACCGTTTCAGTGCTAGCTTGTGACACAGATCATAGCTTTTTCCAATTTTAGCTTTTCCAATTTTAGCTTAAGCCAAGTTTCTAGAAATGATGTGAGGGTCCGCCATGGCTGAAAGAGCAGTCACGGGATGAGCTTCACCTGGGGGGATGGGATTTGCAGGAAAGTGGAGGTCAGCTAGCCCCTTAGGTGCCGTTGACCTTAACTACTCTTTTTTTTTTTTTTTAATTACAATATTTATAAATCTTAAAAAGAGGCTTAGGCTCTCACATGGGTTCTGGCTAAAATTTGGCTCAAAAACATAAACAACCCAACTAACAGAGATTGGTTAACATGAATTATGCACTTTAAAATGGATTCGGATCACAAACCCACAAAAATTAAAATGAAGTTCAACTGAGCTTTTAAAATGAGCCCAAATAAGAGAAATCTCACAGTACCAAACAAAATTAAACGTACACAACTATCACGATTAAAACTATAATATTTGGTCCATGCTCGTTAAACATATTATGGATTTATTATTAAAAATTATTTGAAAATGAAAACGTCATGAAACTTCATTAAATTTCAAAGTCAAAGATATTTTGATTGCAACAACTTCATTAAATTTTGTAAGAATCCAACTTTGTCACATTCAAAGAATGCTTTAAAAAGTGAACAAAAATCTTTGTTTTATCGAATTTCCTATGATCACATCCTTTACTTTTTCTCTTTTAAAGATTCATTGTAATGGAATTCACAAAACGAGGAAACAATGCGATTAAATCTTTTTTTTTATTGATCATTCAAACATAGCATATGAATTTAACATAAAGTCCAAATCAAATCAGAGTAGTTGCTTTATTTAAATTCATAGAACAAAAAAAAAAAAAAAAGATTTTGTCAGAGATCATCAAAATCAAATGTTCAGAATACCAAAATCTTTGAACTTGAAAAAAATTGCTTGACCTTATAATATAAACAAGAAAAATGTAGTACAAACATGGACCCTTGCATCATTACCTCCAATGGAAAAATTATTTTGATGTACCGAAGATACTAATTGATTTATCAGAATCCATTTTAGATTTAGTCATTTTTGATAGATGCATGGCTGAGGAATGAAACCCTAACAGCTGGCAAAAGACATGGAAAATCTCCATTGATGTAACTTTGAGATACACCTTATCCTTTAAACGTCAGTTTTGTCAATTAATGCATTGCCCAACATTTTGTTCAGGTTGTCCCCATTTTTGCTTGCTTTGACTTTAGTTTCAAAATTATTGTAATTAATGTTCTTTTTTATTTTAAAATTTTAACTATTTTAAATTGATTATGAAGATAAATAAATATTAATTAAAAATAAATTGAACAAATATTAATCCTAAATTTTATTGAATATCTACCCTTATATAAAATAATAAAAATTTTCACCTTTTAATTTTAGAACCGCCCATGCGAAGCTCACCCCTAATAAATAAGATAAATTGTATGAGATGAAATGGGATTTTATCTCATTAAGTTAGTCCAAAATTACTTGTATCAAGAAATATTTCAAAAAAAAAGATACAAAACTATAAGAAATTAGCAACTATAAATTGAAATTAATTTAGTATAATTTTTAAGATTATCATGATAATATAATCATTGAGATGAACTTATTATTGAAGTAATCTTATCATTCATGAATTAGAATCATTTCGTTTGATTAATAATTATTAGTTAATAGAAATTAAACATAACTATTTTTATATTACTAAAATCAAATATTTTTTATTTAAAAATATGAAAATAATCATTTATAGTGTAATAGTTATACATTTTAATGATTTTAATGTTGTTTAAAAATAATAATTTGTAAAATATAATAATATTTTGTTTATTTTATAATAGAGTATGATTAAATTATTAAAATTATTTATTAAGTAAACTAATTTTTATAATATAAATTATGTAAAATATTTGAATTAGAAAATAAAAATATTATATTAAAACATAATAAAAAACAAAAAGATTACATTATATATAAAAAATAAAAAAAAAACATTATTTTTAAACTTGTTATGAACATTAATTTGAAAATATAAAAAATTATAATATAAAATAATTATAATTTTAAGAAAAAAATAAGTTTTAATTCATATATTAAATGAATAATATTGATTATTATTAATTTTTCATCTTGTTAATTGAAATTAGAACACCTTTCAAGATAGTGATCTAAGTTATTTTATTAAGTCTTTTGAATGATTCAAATCAATAAATTCAACATATACCAATGAAAAAAAATCAAAGATGTAATTTGCCGTTGTACGAAATGTGATTCCAAATCTTTTTATGATTAAGTAAAGATTTTACTCAAAATCCAAATAAGAGAGACAAAACTACATCAAATCTAATTTCGTTGACTTGTATCCAATTTTCCAAAAAATAATTAATAGTACAGTAATGTTGATATTCATCAAAATAACAAATAGAAACTGTCCATACAAACCTCATCAATGTAGCTTTGAAATTTATTTTGAAGTTTGATACTGCCCAACTAAGATCGAAACTCTGGTAATTGAAGAAGCAAAAACAAATGATCTCTTCAGCATGGCACAGGAGACAAGCAAGGAATTAAGGGAAATTATATTATAGTATTATTTGTTTAGAAGATGCATGATCACGAAGGTGGGTTTTGCATACCAAACTAGGAATCCCCATAATTTGGCTGCCATATTAATTATAGTTTACATCGTTGCCTTCTTATTTAAATGGTCTTTTTTGGGGGTCAAGTTTAACTATAATTAGAGTACTATGAAAGAGATTTAATAATATATGCATGGGTACTTAATTGTGCTGTTTCTATATCTAAACAAATTGTTTGTCAAGAATTTTATATTATCCTTATTTAGGGTAACTTTAGAAACAAATGTTAGAATAAAAATAAAATTGCCCCAAGAAAGAAATACCCTAAAATTTCATGATAAAATATATGAATAATCCATTCTTAATTAATAACGTTATGTATACATTACTGATAATTTTATCAATATTTACAAATAATTTTAATTAAATAATTACGTCATAATTCATAAAATATAAGAGAGTCGATAAAAATGTATTAATAGACTCTCCTACTCCATTATGTTCTTTCTTCGTCCACTTTCTTTATTTCTCTCAGATACTTGATTGATTCGACGGTAAAAGCGTATCTCAAAATCTTAATTCCTATAGACTCACCAATTCAACCTCCACCAAGCTGCATTCTCACCGCTCAGACATACTTCAAAAAGCATAATCATTTTTCACGTTTTTAACCTGTATCACATCATTGATGACTTCACATATTTGAGATCATAATCCTAATTGGTTTCCTTGCATCTCGATGACTTGAGAGTCAACCCAAGTAATATATACTTACAATTTACAAATAATATTTCCTCAAAAATGAAAAATCCAAATGTTTTAGTTATCTCTAAACTTGATCTTGATTTGTCTTATTTGCATTTTCTTTTCTATTTCCTTTCTCTATATAAAGGAGCATCTTTAGCCTACACCATTTCAAGAATGTCAGATATATTTCTCTGGTTAATTGGTATGAGCGAATGATAATTTTTCTTTTCTAGACTGAGAAAACAGGTTTTCTATTTTTACTTTGAAGAAGAGAAGATGGTTCCTACTGGCTTTAGATTCAGTCCCATAGATGAAGAGCTTATCGAAATCCTGTACCAGAAAGTATCTGGGAATATTGCCATGGCGCCTTTCGGTTTCATTGTTGAAACAAATATTTATGAGTCAGAGCCGCTAGATCTTCATTGTCTGACGTTTTCCCCTCTTCTTCTTCTCCCTCTTTATGATAAATAAATTAATTTCTAATGTAATTTTCTGATCATAGTATGAATGCAGTGAAATTTATGTGGTTTGTGCAGGGACTCAAAATGTGGCTTTAAACAAGAATGAAAGGTATTACTATTGTAAGAGGGAAAGTGGCTCAAGAGAAGTGACAGGTCGTGGATGGTGGAAGGCAACAAGCCATGTGAAGACGATTTGTGCTAAAGGACAAGTGTTGGGTTACAAAAGACCCCTAACTTTTCACAAATTTAAGAATAACCAAAGAAACCGCAAAGATGCTATCAAGACTGACTGGATCATGCATGAATATGGCCTCAAATCCATTCCAACGGTTTATTTCCTATCTGCCTTTTTTATTCTTTACTTTTTCTTCACAACATTTTTTTATGCAAAATTGTCTATATATACATATTATACAGTAAATTACACAATAATATTTTATAAAAAATTAATTTTAAATATATTTTTAAGATTAATTAAGTCTAATTTAATTTTTAAAATTTTCAAAATTTCAAATTAATATTTTTATAATACGTACTTGATTAGTTAATTATTTTCGTAAAAAGTCTCTTTGAATTTATGATAAATGAGTAAAATTTAATCATAAAATGACATTCACCATATGGTAAAATTTTCTCGCACGCAAGCAAGTCAAAGGAATTAAAAATTTTCCGTTGGAAAATTTAATGTACTGTAGACATTAATATAAGGTGACAAGACATGAATCGGATACGGTTAGCATTTTTCAATGAATGAGGAGATACTTTGTCTTGCTTTATTTGCAAATGTAAAATCTTTACAGGCTAAAAAAGAATTGGTTTTTGGAGAAGTCATGAGTGCAATCGTGATTATGGGTTTTCATTTTAGATTGCAAATCATTGACTCGCATTTTAGAATTCGTATATTAATTACTAGCTTGACTTTGTTTATTTCTTAACTTTTTTTTAATACATTTTGAGTAAAGATTATATCTTATTATTCATATATTTATATTTATTTATTTCATATTGAAAACATATAAAATATAAAAATTATATGTTATAATTTATGTTAGTATGTCAAATATCAAATTTTTTTTTTAAATTTGTGTTAAATTTATATATTATTTATATTAAAATTTTTAATTATATCATTTTTATATTTTTTATGTTATTTTTTTATCATATTTAATTACTGTGAATCTTACTTTTCTTTTAATCTCGTTTGTGAAGGAGTGGAGATTATGTAAGATTAAGTACAAAGGAAAAGAAAAGCTTAAAAAAGACATGACATCGATGGACAATATCAGAAACAATGCTACTCCATTGATGAGTTTAGAAGCTGGAGGTTGCGGTGGTTCTACAAACATAAATCCCATGCAGTTGGAGTTTGCTTTTGAGGAGCAGCAGCCATTACCTGTAAACAATGATTATGAAAATGAATTTTGGTCAAACTCAAGAATGATATTTGATGATCAGCAGCAGGAATTGGAGCAGCCATTTTCATCACTTGATCCAAGTTCTTCCATGCCAATACTTACCCCAAGCTATGATCATGATCACTTTCCCCAACTAGACACCCAATCAGAACCCAGGGAGCAACCATTTCCAGACCTATGGTCCTGGGAGAATTGGAATTAAATTCACCTGTTTATACCATAAAGCAGCGCATGTAGCTTTTCCAAGGGGTTTTAAGTTTGGCAAATACTAAGCCATTTTTAGGATTAGGATTTAAGATTTTTGAATGTTTAATATTATTGTAAAATTTTATTATGAAAAATTAAAATGTTAGAAAGAAAAAATAAATTAGTTTTGTCCAAAATAAATAATAAAATGGATATTTTATCTTTAAATATTTCTTTAAACCATAAATTTTAAACCGTAATTATAAATAACTCAATTAGTTTTTACGATTTAATGATTTTTTACAGTAAAAAAATTGCTTTTAATTCAAACTACAATATATTTAACAGTATTTTGTGTTCAAAAGCTACTTTTTAAAACTCAAAAGTAATGATAAAAAAAATTTCGTCTAAATTTGATAATTTTGTGTTATCGAATTGCGACACGACTTCAGAGACAATATAAATAATTTTGACATGAACATAATACAACTATATAAATAACACAAATAACTTAAACATAAATATCACACGTTTATTATATATGTATTATATATGATACGATATAATTAATATATTTAAAATTAATTTATTCTTAATTAATATAACACGATACGATATAATTATATACAAATAATATAATTAAATATGATTAATTACTCAAATAATAAGACATAATATAATACGATTAACACGATTAATTTATTTATTTAAAAAAAATTATTTAAATTAATATTTAAATAAAATTTATTTAAAATTATATATTTATAATCTAATTAAATATCAAAATAATATAATAAATATAATAATTAATTTATTTTTAAAATATATTAAAATAATTTTTAAATTTTTTTAAGTTATAAACAATATCATAATTATTTGATATAAACACGACATAAATAATATAATGCCTTAACCATATTAATACCATTAAAACACAAAATGCAATTACAATAAATCCATATCGTGCCCCGTGTAAAATTATCAAGTCTACTCTCATCCAAACATTTTATCCTATGATGTGGCAATAAATTATTAGTTTAGCCGTAATATATCAGTTTTTTTTTATGAATTTGTTCACTTATCCGTTAAGCGATAGATTTAAATTCATCCAATGGCTATGTCAACTATGAGTCTAACCGTTCCGGGGATTTTTTTCAACATACGGGAAAGATCAGCTTCTATCAGGAACAAAAACTACAAAGCAGACTACAAAATCTGTTAACTGTTGTATTGAACTTGGAGTCATTGAAGTTCTCATAATGGAAGTTTAGGTGCCATATGCATTCTCTCTGCATTTCATCTAATTTTCCCTTTAATATCTGCGTTTACAATTGAATCTTGAATTTGCAAAATTGTCACTGCCATGTCTTGCTTGCTGCAGTTCATATGATATAAAGTCTGACTGCTTTACATTAAACTTGAATCCGGCTCGATAGTTGATCGTAATCCGCCACGTATCATCATTTGTGAATAGAATTCAGCATGCTCCTGTCAGTTAAGGTAAATAAACAGATCATCACCCACTTCAATATATAACCGGACATAACAGGTCTTAATCACTAGAATTCAACACTCGCAAAACAACATATAGAGTTGGTGAGCACAATATTGATGCCGATGCAGTTAATGTATTTTGAAAGTTTAAGCATGTCGAGTCTCACCCCACAACTTCCGGTCTAATTAGGGCATATGGAAATCACCACATGGAAAATTACAGCTTAACTACAATAGACAAATTAGGATTTTGGTATTGCTTTAAGAATGCGATTGATGCATAAGATTATTATCAAATAGGATAAGATGATATTATGATTAGCAATAAATTAAATAATATTATACTATCGTATGTTTGATATATGCAAAAAATAAAATAATATAATTTATTTATTGATCAAAATTATCCTTTCACAAAATTTATATAATTTAAATTATTAATGTAATTTTAAGAGTAAATAAAGACATTTAAGTTGAATCCTATGGATTAAAAATAACCCTCTCCAATTTAAAAAAATTGAATCATCTTATACCAAAAGGATGATTAATCCTCTTTATAATCCTATCCATTTCTTTAAATTTAAACCAAACATAATACAAAATGATTATCATTGCATCGCATCTAAACATAACCTAAACATCTTAGATAACAATCTTTTATATTGTTTTTTGGCCTTTTTAGCTGTGTTTTATCAGTATCCAACAAAAAAAGAACAAAACAGATCATGCTCTATTTAAGAGATTGACTATCAACCAAAACAAAACTTTACCATCATGCTCCCAAGAAAACTAAGAAATCTAAGTCACCATAGCTCCACAACATACTTATTACCATTGAAATCTTCAGAAGACTGTTCCATAAATAAGTTTATCATTTTAACAGTGACTTGCAGGGAAAAGGGTGCTCACATGGAAATTATTAAATTTACATAATAATTACTCATATGTAGAACAAAGGGGGTTATTGATTCATATACATGCATATTAACATTATGCAATTTGCTTTCATGGGAACATCGATCACAAAGTTCAGCCAAAGCACTAATGCAAACACATCAACCAGTTAGTAATTATTCATAAATTTTCGAAACGCCATTTCAGGTACTTACTCATAAATTTTCAAAACCCATTTCAGGGCCTTCTGCATATCTAAAGAGAGTAATTTATCATGTTACATGAATCTTATATAGAAAAAATTATTATCATTTTTGTAAATATTCAGTACATTCCAATAAAATGGTGATTGATAAAAAGATCTGTGTCTCTATGGCAAGCAAAAATGATAAATGCATCTTAGGAAACCTTTAGCTAGTGAATCACTTAGACCCTGAGATTGCATCTGTCTATAAGACAATCACTCATTGAGCTGATCTTTCACTATTGGCATAAGAAATTATGAGATAAGCAATTTTTAAACTTGTTAATAACAAGAAAGCTGCTTAATTATTGCAAATCATTTATGCAACAAGTACAACTATAGCTGACATAAGAGACAAGAAAAAATAACTAGCAACCAAAATCACCCTAAGATGTTCACCAAATATCCAAGAAATATTCATATTCAAAAAGCATAAAACATTTGTTCAAGGAAATGAAAGGGTGAGCATGTAGATGTCTTTGTGTGAAGGTGCACATGATCAGATGGAAGCTTACTATCATAGTGCTTTTTAAAATTGAATATTTATGGTAGGATCTCCCTAAAACAAGGAACTTGCATATGCTCTGAAGAGTGGTCAAATATATCTGACTAACATGCTATTAAAAGAAAAGTCAAACAAATGTGAAGAAAGCAAAGGATAGGATAGGGGTACAACTTGGACTCATTTGAATTTAGACTAGCAAAATATTTCAGTACCGTTTAAAGACAATAGTAAACTAGATACTTGCATACTCAGCTCCTAATCACAAACTCCGTGTATTCATTGGACAATTAGAAAAAAAAAAAAAAGTTTATTAATGAACTATGCCTTGACAAATAGACTTAAACACACAAGTAGCAGGCTTAAATGAATATCAGCATGACAGAAATTAATCTCATGATGACAAAGAATAAACATACCTTAACTGTGACAATTACAACTGCCACTCCATTTTCTCGTGATACATGAAACAGTTTTCTTGCATCATCAGGTGTAACGGATGGAACAACTTGGGGCAAAACCTTCGCAACTGCAAGAGAATAACAAACACAAGTACAAGATCAAATTATCAACAAAAAAATGAAAAAAATAAAACACAAATTGATGGCAATGTCACGATCAATTGCCAAATAAGACCAATCTTTTAACTACTTAGTTTGTTCAATAGAGTGGTGAGACATGTGGTTTCCACATAACTGGAGCACTAAAAGCTGCTTACCAACGAAATTTAGACTATTAGCTTCTAGACATCAACTATTTATATTTTCACACATGCTTAATGTTGAGCAAATAAATTACCTAATTTTTCAGAATGACCAGCATCATCAACCAGCAAAACTCTATAACTGCCTCCACTGCCAATACCTTTCTTATTCCTCAAGCGCCCAATATCACCACCTTTGATCATAAAGAAATAAACATTGTAAGCAAATGAGTTATCTATCCATCACAGGCATCACTAGCATAAAAGGAATCTTTCTTTTTTCCATTAACTAATTTTACAATTTCTTGACTAAGATAATTATACATTTTGTCGATTAATCTAGGTAATTTCAGGTGAGTTAGATCATTAATGACATGAGAGTACATCAGCATTTCATGATCGTACAGCCACACATAGAAATACCCACCTAGACAAACACAAAGAAGACTGACTTGATCCAACTCATACAAACATAAAAAAACACCAAGACACACATATAGACACACTCAAATGAGTCCAATTTTATAGGGCTCAGCTTAAGCCAACTTGATGAGGAATCAATCTATGGCAGTAGGCTGTAGCCAAGTAATAATAGTTCATATCTTGCTCAAAGACAGTTACTTTTCAAGCGCTAATATCTTAATTAACATAATTTCCATTGAAATTTGAAACAAACTCACCCTAACACAATTCACTGATAACAAGGCAGGAAAGTTATATGTGTCACACTAATATCAAAACCAAATAAAAAAAGATTAAAGATTCATACTTTGCGTATTCATACTTTGCATTAAAAAGAAAAATGATGGAAAATTGAAGCAAGATACGAAATGGAACCGTACATCATAAAGGAAAACATCCCCAACTCTTTCATTTCAGTTTCTTCAATTAGGAAGATTTCTAAAAAGTGAACTCCACCCAATCTTTGTTTTCCTTTTCTTTCCAATCTTGTCAGTCTGTTCCCTCTAACTAGCAATTATGTTAAAAGTTACCTGATTACGCAAAAACCATAGTCTTTGATTCAGAAAAAAAAAAACAAAGATTCCCATTCAACAGTCTTACCAAGAAGATCAAAGAAAAAAACCCGGATCGGGATTTACCATTTTATAGCTTCTATTAACAAAAAAAAAACGAAAACTTTAGCACGAAAAACTCAAAAAAAAAAAAAAATCGAATTTGACCTTCAAGAACTTTAGTAGAAGGTTCAAACTGGGACTGATCGAAACCGGGTCGTTCTAAAACACCAGCACCACCACTCGTGAAAGAGCCAAACCTCGCTTTCATACCCATAAATTTCATAACCATTTTCCCTCCTGGGTGGCTTTCGTTCCCACCACAGAATTTCCTCAAAGAAGGAGCTGACGGGAGACGTTGAGACTTCACCAGAGTCCAAGAAGACGTCGCTACCGTCCCTGCAACAACCGCCATATCCAGAATTTGCCTGTTTCTAACACCCCCTTCCTTTTGCAAAATAAGGCTCCGAACAAATTGCAGCAGTTACTTCGACGATGAAATGAACCGAAAATGGGTCTGTATATAATGATATATTATTTTTTTTCTTAATTTTTTACTATTTTAATATGATTATTGTTGGGTCCCACCAGATCGCGGAGTGATTGGAAACGAGTGGATGTGATTTGCTGATGTAAAGTTTGATGTTTTCTTGAAGTTTCCAGAGTTTTTCTTTTTCGTCTTATTTATGGTGACAAAAGAAAAAACAAAAGCCAGGCTTACAATACAACCCAAAATCATTGATTTTAATGCAGCTATTTAGCCTACTTTGAGTTTGTGGATACTGAATTGTTACACGTATATCAGATGTGAACAAGTTTGTTTTAATAGCTACATCAGTAATGCTTTGATCGATTGTAACGTACTTTTAATATAAATGATACCCTGTTAATAATTAATGAAGTTATTATTTATTACGTCTAAAAATAATTGGACAACCTATTAATAAATAGGGAATATTTAATATTGATCATTAAATATTAAAATTCTTATTTGGATGATCAAAATTTAATCCTAACTGCAATTAAAAAGAAAAGACCAAAGTCAAAATATGGCATAGGACGTTCATAGTTTAAGTAAGACTTACTTTATGAGAGAGAGAGAGATTGCCTTCACTCAATAATATGAATTGGAAAAAGAAAATCCCGACTTTACATCAACTACCTAAAATGGTTTCTTTTTCTTTTTGTTCTTTTTTTTTTTTTTTTTTCCGTGAGAAGAGGCATTGGAGATTAGAATTTTGCCTCATCCTCTGCAAATTTCAATAAAAACTTCAAAAATGAAAGCTTAGGATCATCTCCAACTCCTTTGTCCCTCGTTTCAAAAATGCCTTTGATAATACGTGTGTACAGCCTTTCAAGCTCGGGAATACCGTAGTTTTCAGTCCGCTCCACAAACAGTTGCGTGGCGGATTTCACTTGGTTTGAAATCTCGCCATCTGACATTCCAACGTCCTGGGATCCATTCCCATCAATCAGATTAGAAGCCTCTGTACAAGTTTCTTGCCGATTGCCACCACCGGAAGTAGATTCAGGCCTCTCACAGTCTATCTCGTTTACCTCTAGGGTTTGAGATGACTTTGTTTGTACTGAATCTGCCATCTGTGACTTGTCTTCTGCTGCAGCACAGATCAGATAACTAGTCATTCCATCGTAAAACTTCGTAAAACTTCTAACCAAAGTTAGAAAAGAAGGATCGACAGTTGAATAAACGTTATAGAAGATGCAGAAACTCTAGGGTGATCAAAGAAACTACCAAACGATGATAATTATCAAGACACAAAATATCACAAAGACGGTATGGTGGGCTGAGGGTAGACAGGGATTCATGCCATTATCGATTCTCATCTCATGTTAGGAATAAGTAAAAGACAGATACAAACTCCTGTTTTAAGTTCAACAACATGAAAACATTTTCAAACCTTCTGCAGCTGTGGGATTTGAAGTAGACCATCTGCAAGCATGATTGGCTAATGCAAAAACCTTTGCAAGTAAACAGGATGATTTTCACAAATGGGTCTTACCCTTTTATGTTCGTAATTCATGCACTCTACCCACCTTTTGGTAGGTGGAGTTTGAAGAGTGATGAATTACATATTCATCACTTCATACAATTAGGATAGGGAACAAAATTCAAAACCATGCATTGAAGTGAGATACCTAAATTGATATCCATGGTGATCAAAATCAGAAAGTGAAAATCTTCTACTTTTTAAGATACTCAAATATTAAAGAGCCGACAAAAGATACAAGAAAGAAATCATCAACCAAAATCTATGCACCAAATTCTTTTTCCCTATAAATGGTATATATGCATACTAGATGTTAATAATATCCCAGAAAGAGCTGCTTTCAGAGCCCGTAGACTAGTATGTTCTGGTTCTAACTGATTCCAAGATGTGACCTTAATGAACGAGATTTGAGATTGAATGGAAATTTTAAAAGGGAAAAGCCCTTTCAAAATATAAACACATGCCTATCCTGGTATTGGTTGAGAATTGAGAAAACTAAATCCAATTCTTGGTAACAAAATATGTTATGAACCAAAGCCTAAAACCCACCTCAACATACACCAAACAAGAGTCGGCTAATCCATGTATACACCATACACACATAACAGACATCAAAATACCTGTAAGGGCAGTATCGGCATTCTTCTTTGGCCTTTTCAAAGCCTCATAGCCTTGAAGATTGACCTCTGGCTGGACATTGCGAAGTCGGGCACTTGCTCGAGTGACAGTTCCTAGCTGCACAACAGGTATTGAGGGGATAGTAGACAGCCCTAGATCATCTGGCATATGAGCTGGACCCCCTTGGGCAGCAATTTTGTCACAATAAGCAACCAATGCAGGGTCCATCTGTGACAGCATCCCATGTACCTGATAAAAAAGAAATTAAAATATTATGAAAAGAAAGAAAAAGGTGAGCGCCAACAAATGAGAATAAAACTCTGGAGGAAAAGGGCAAGTGAACGTACTGCATCCCGTAGTTCATAAGCTCTACTAACAATTCTAGCACCATTATAATCATCTCCATTATAAGCCTGAAATTCAGGAAGCAAACAAATCAGGCACAGGAAATCTTACAGCTACGAACAAGACAAAAAAGAAGTTAATAAGACAATATTTATTACAAAGTCTTTTGATATACTTTCAGACTTAGCACCTAGAACTGAAAAATATAGTAGCCTTTTAGATAATCAAGTTGGTTGGTGAATTTGTGCCTGGTCACATGACAAGAGTACAATGGAAAAAGGAAAAACACATCCCCAGTGCTAAAAATCCAAAGCATGCAATACAAAGACATGGCTTATGCATAATTGTCAGCAAGTCACCTTTAAATTTTGTCAGTACATCATTTGTAAATTACCTATCCTCCCAATGACGAGTTCATTTCCAAAACCACAACCTTTCTGCTGCCAAAAATTCTTTGGAATCTCTTTCCTTGCTGCCAGCCATTCTTTTGCCCTTAAGTTCCAATCAATTCGAGCCTCTAAATATAACAATAAACTCTAAAATCCCAAAATTTTCAGCCTTGGGTCTAGCCTACCACAAACCCTAAGCAAGCAGATTTCCCCTACTCTTTCCTACAAACATTCATACATGTGAAAATGTTTCCCTCCAAACAATGCTCGGTAAACTTGGCCCAAAAAAAAACCATCACTCGGTACACCATCATCCATGAGTAGCAAAGTAAATGTTCAACTAATTTAAAATAAGAAAAAATGGAAATCAGAAGAGACTGCATTTAGGATTTGACAAATCCACACCTTTGCATTGGTTACAATCAGGTCAACATCTTGCACAAAAGCTGACGAGGTAAGATATTGCCCAGAGTCGACCCGCTGCAATAGAGTAGCAATGTCCATAGGGTTCTGGATTATCGAGCGGTAGTTTGGCGCATCCTCATCAGTGACTGGGTAATGAAAGACACTAAATCTTTTATCATAAAATATCCTGCAACATGATCAACCATTGACTATAAAGGTTATTAACAGTTTAATAAAGAAGCAAATATAAAAAAGCCCAATAAATCCCTTTTCAGTCATGAACAGGCCTAAATATCTAGATTTCATAAGCTTATAAAGATAACAACAATCAACAATAAATTAAAACCTACAAGCCCATCCTAGAAGTCATCTTCTTCGAAATCCTGAGGTTTTCTCAACTATATCAACTTTGGAGATAAAAAAGGTTTAAAAAAGGGTAACAAATATATGTTATTAAACAAAATCACATGCAAAGAAGAAGATCTTCCAACCCAAAACAAATCCATGAACCATTTTGCAAAGATCCAACAATGATAATTCAAGGAGCCAAAAACCATACTGCAATGGGGAATGATATAGAAGACAACAGCTTTACAGCACATCTAAAGATTGATTCTCTCTTTTCTTCTTTTCTCATGGTTACAATTTTTTTCACGTTTTTATTTTCTTAACTAAAGAATTTCTCTCAAGGTCACCTGACTGAACAGTTCTACAGAAAAACACTAACATGCCTTAGATAATTCTTTGGAAAACTTAGGTCTTCTTCCAATATTAGTTATAGTTTTTCAATTTGCAGAATTCTAACTGAGCATTAAAACATATATTCCGACTCCTGCAACTATTTGTCCTAAATTTCAGTGAATCAATTGAAATATGCTCCACAGAGCTTCCATTTCCAAGAGAAAGAAAAAGCAAAGCAGGTTGAAAGGCGCAGAGGAACAATAAAAGGAAGGACGCCTAAGTTAAAGATTTCACTATAAAACGTAATACATTCTGATAGGACTATGGTAACTTTACCGGTTGCAAACATCTCTAAGGCACATCCGTAAGCGGCGGAGAGCATGTTGCTCAGCTTCTACTTTGGCTTTCAATTCTGAGACCTTTGGTCCACTTGCCACTTTTGGCACTTTGGGAAGTTCAGAAAGAGATAATGATTCCTGGGACTTTTTGGTCATAGCCTCCAACAACACTGACAATGCAGCTTTAATTAAACAGCCAAAGAACAAAGATCTGTCTTCAGTTGATGGTTTGTCCACTTGATAGCTGACAAATAAAAATTAAATACATGACTACTGAACCAAGTTTTAAAAAGATAAGAATAAATACCTAGGACGAAGTGGGTAAAAAAGTCCTGTTCGTCAACATCAACAGAATAGAAGATAAAACAGAAAAAATGCAATACAGGAATATTATTCCATTCATACATGAATTCTCAAAACAAATCTATATATATATATATATATATATATATATATGCGTTTGTGTGTGTGTGAATCTATGATGTTCCACATGTCAGCATAAAAGAGAATGCACTAGGATGGCATTTTGCCATGTGATGCCTCAACAAGATCTGTTTATTGCAAGAAAGACCAATAAGGGTTTACTTACTGCAAACCAAAACTTCATGGTGACAGCAATAACCAGCTCAGATTATGAACAATAATAGACTATGGTAAAAATGACACCCAAAAAATCACAAAAAGGAACGTAGAAATGCATAAAAGGTAACTTTAAGGGTTAGTTAGACATACACATTACGCTGAGGAAATACTGAGTAGGGATTCCCGTCAAATTCGGCAAGTGAAGTTGACGATGTTCCGAGTAACAATATAGGTAAGTCTGAAGGCAACTCTTCTAAAAGAGTAAGCAGAACAGCTCTTAGCTGTTCATGTGCCTGCAACACCAAATCAATCAAACTCAGAAAAAAAAAAAAGGACAGAAATAGACTAACAAACTAGATCTGAAATATCCACACACTAAAAAAAATATAAACCTTTAAGCAAGTTAATTAGCATCAGATTTGAAAAATTACTCAATGAAAGGAAGCACTCACATTATCCCACCATAGATTAAACTGAGGTATATAGAGTACAGATGGTGTTGTTCTTCTTGCTTCGCCAAATATATGCACCACTGCTTCCTCTGGTGTCTTTGCACTGGGATCCGAAAGAAGAGATGGAAGACCAAGCGAATGTACAGGAAATTTCTCTAGCTCATGTAAAATTGCAGGTCCAAGATGATCCTGTATAACTAGATCAGTAAGTATATTCAGTTTTTGGCTCCAACATTTACAGTTACTAAAAATTAAGAGGATACAAAAT